CAATGATTAAGAATGTTGAATAACTTGGTTGAGTTCATTTTGGAATTGTATTATACAAGTAAGGACACACAAATACATGCTGTTGAGAAAAGACAATAGCCACAAAAGTTATCAATGTCAACTGAGGACAAAATATAACAACAACAGAATTCAACAAGCATTACAATGCAATGCAATGAGCAGACTACTTCACATCAGATGTTGCCGTAAAATTTAAGGAAGCAAAATAAGCCATGATTTACTTTCCTTGCAGCACCAAGAATATCACTGAATACAAAATGTATGGGTATCTTTGACCCCATCATATACGATACACAGATCACTTGTTTATTACCTCAAAAATGAGGTCTCTCTCTTAGAGCTCAAGCAGATTTTGATTTATAGAATTAAACTTAACTAACCAATGCTCATTCATGAATAAGCCACACTTGTTTTTTTTTCTAAGAGAGGACAGAAGAAATCCACTGAGAATCTACATGTGGCTCATCAGGACTAAAAATTTTGACTTACAACTGATGTTTTGCTTTTATACCTAAACATGCAATGGGAAACACATATACAAGATAAAATAAACAACACAATACAATCAATATGTACTAATGAAGCAACAATAAAAGAAGTCTTCAATTACATTAATTTCATTTAGTTCAGATAGGTTTAGAAAAATATACTGTATTATACTTGAGATTAAATTATAGATACCAGGGTTAATTGCATTTCATAAGTATATTTCAAGTCTTGTGCTGCTCTTCCTCTGTTAACCAAGCTCAATCTGATGTTCATGATTATACACTACTGTAAATATCACAGGTTCCAACATCATGTTTAAGCAGATCAAAAGCACAAAAGTTTATTGATGTTGCACTGGGGGACTTGAGACAAGTAGTCAAACAATATTGGTGTGTTTCAGTTCCTTGAGCTATCTTTTTCATAAACACAGCTATAGTACCAAGATATGGTTTGAAGCTTGCGAGTCTTCATCAATATCTAATCCTTGTTTATCATCTTCCTTGCAGTACAATGAGATATGCCTAGCTTCATCAAAGTTGTTTTTTTAAGGTTAGAGGTTTCACCCTCATTAATATGGCATTTAATCTGCAGCATGCATTGTTAAGTGACTGGGAATTCGCAATAAAACATATAGGTGTTAATCATTTTACCTAGAAAATATTGCTCACAAGTGCAGCCACTGCATTAGCATATACAAATTATTCATTTAACCTGCAATTAACCCACTGTAATGTAGAGTCATTCAAGCTGCTGATTTGTGATGCCAGTATAGGCATATACATATTCTAAATACTATTATTTCACAAGTGAAGTTTTAAGGACTTTGTCAAGATGTAACTAATATGCATATAAATGGAAATAAACTATCTTTATTGAGCAAAACATAAGTGCAAGTTATGAAGATCAACAATTTATTCTGCTTTTATGAAGAAATCTGTACAATAACATCTCACTGTATTATACTGATTTTGATTACTAATTACAAAGAAATATCAATGCTTTTTAAAAGTTTCCAGTTGTATCTCAATGGAACTTAAGAATTTCTGATAAATCCCCCACCCCATTAAGAGTTCAGATTTCAATAAAAATAACAAGTAACAATTTCTCTGAGGTAAGCATATATATATATATATCTATTATTTCACCTAAAGACACTTTCAACTGCTTTACTATGATGTAACTGACATTAAAAATTTGATTTTTTAATTCTAGTGAACCAATTGTTATTTTTTCTTTAAAAGTGAATTAGCTTTCATTTCTCTCTGCAGGAGGCTTTGCTAAAAATATGCTACCTTTATTATAATTTGTGTATAATATTATATTGTACACCTTCATTATAGAAAATTGATGATACAGCATTTTTCTGCTTAATTTTGCAGTCTACTTGCCTATTTTTAACATTTATAACAAGCAACTTAAATGTAACTTATGGCCTAACTTACAAAACTTTTATCAACAACTATGTGGTCTTAGATCTTTCTATCTTTTTATCTGCCTATAACTTAAGTTACAAGGTCACCCACCTTTAACATTTCTTTATTGAATGCATCACTTTGTGAACCAAGGTACATGAATGGCAAAATTTTGGTTGGCCCTTGGTGGGTAACTGACAGACAAGGCTGGGACAGGGATGTTAATGGTGTGCATTTCCATGTTTTATCTTCACATAAATTAGGATAAGCAGCCTGGAATTCCAGAAAACCTCCTGTGTTGCAAAAAAGTGTGTTAGGCTTTTCCACAAATTAAATTTAAAAGTATATCTATAACAAGGTTAATAATCAGTTCATTATTACAATTTTTGAGGTACTTAACCATGAATTACAAAAAAATTATATTTTACTTTCCTACAAAATCAAATTTTGCTTACAGAATAATAAATCAGTCAGCATGAATACTTGTTACTAAGCTATATCACCATCAACAAAATCAGACTCCTTTTCTATTCTTAGTGCTCTTCAAAGCTAACATAACATTACACACAAAAAATCAATACTTTTATAACAGCTTTAACACTACTTTTGCTTTAGTATAGCCAGCAAGAGGTTATATATATATATATATCTTAGCATAAAGCTGCAAATGAGTTTTCTATGTTGGGTCCACTAATGAAACCAAACCCCCCAATTCTAACATTTTTAAGCTCTCAAAAACTAACCACTGAGCTTAATTAGATATAAATAATATTCCACAACTGAAAATGGTTAAAAACGGTAGATTTAATGAAGTCACTACAGCAAAATCTGGGATTTTTTAAAATAAAAAACACTGTCAAATTTCAATGAGGCCATATAATTTAAGTGTATATTTTCAAAATTTAAAAAAATTCATGAATTTTGTTTTTATGGTTCTAGTGCTAGCTAGATTTAAGTGTGTTTGTTTAAAACAGTGTGGAATACTATTAAATGTTAGGAAATTGCAAAAGAGAAATGATTTGTCCACATGTCAATCCAATCTTGGGAATAACAGAATAAATACAGAAAGTTGGAAATTTGTAATTTTATAGATGGACTGGTGAACTGTAAGTTATTCATTCTACTGGTAATTGTTTTTGTTTTACCTAAGCACTACTTCAATGCACTTGTAAGACTGGTAGATAAGTAAAAAGATAATGAGGAAGTGAAAAAAATCCACACACAATAAAGTTGACATGTCCTGAATCTAAAAGTAAGTATTTTCTTCACCAAAACTATGTTGTTTCAAATTAATTGTTTTTTTCATGATTTCACATGCTCCAAATTAAATTTTTGCCTAGAACATAAATGCAGATGAAATACAGGAAAAAAATCTAGTGTTCATTGAGTCTTGCAATATTCATGAAGTTTTTCTAATGAAAGAAAACAGCATTATTGATAGGAGTGTTGTTTGGCTGAAATAGTAATGACAGTCACTCTTTTAACAAGGCTTAATGATAAAGTTTTTCCTTTTGTATATTTTTTCTGTCTTAAATTAAAATATCAGATTTTCAAGTAAAAGAATTATCAGCAAAAATAAATGTGACTTAAAAGACTTTATAATGCCCTAGTGATTAGGTCTAAAATATTTCCACTTAACCCAATATACCATAAATATAAGCAATAGGAAAACATTATTATTCACTGAATAATAATAATTTACTGAATTAGTGGTTCCTAACAGTAACGAAATGCATTTGTTCTGCATTCTCAATCTTAAAAATACCCTTACCATAGTGGATTTATAGATAAACTCCATTCCGTGATTAAAGTTTGATACTACAGATGAGAAATTATATATTTTAAAGTAAATAAGGATTTCACTCCTAAGTGTATTATTTCAAACCCCTTATGTAGCAGCATGTGTCAGGAAAATTTTTGGTTGCCTCAGTTAGTTTGTGTGGGTGTTTTGAAAACAAAACAAAGTTTAATGCAATTCACATTAGTCTCTTTTTGAAAATGTCCACTATAATGTTTAAGTTACAATCTTAAAAAAATATATTGATGATAAACTTAATGCCTCTGCTGGTAACTTGGACAGATATGTGGCTTCTTATTATTTTCTTGTCAATACATAAAAATAGTCTTGCAAGATTAGTTTCATGTTAATCATTACTGCATAATTTTGGAACACTGTAATCATATTACCCTCTATAACTACAATATGAAAATGAAATAAATTTACTAAGACATAAATAAAATAACTGTATGCAATAAAATGTACATCAAATAAATGTCTCAGAAACCTTACGAATAAGAACTCACCTCTGACTAAGTTCACACTTCTAAACACCTGTGCCAATTTTGTCATTAACACAGCTATGAAAGTATCAGTGGTATTTATGTCCACAGAAAATGATCTCTGGTCATACACTACAACATCATATGTTTCATCTATATCAAACTGGCAAGTATGTAACAATAGTTCTTTCACAGAAATCTGAGAAGAAAAAAAGAATACTAATTAAACAAAATTTAATTAATATCACAGCTTTCACATATACAAATTACAAATTTGTGTTTAGGTTGTTAAATCTTTAACTGCCTAATTTGATAACAATGACATTTTGACCCTCATCTACTCATCTTTTTCACATTAGCCTAATAAAATTATTTATGAGTTTGGTTATTGTGAACATGACAGTTAGAGCTGGGAAGTTATCATCTCTAATAATCAATGTAAGTTACCTATGAACATAGGTTACATCAAATAGTGTCATCAAATAAAATAATCAATTCATGGAAATGAGGATTAAATTAATTAATGTCAAAAAAAGTAATAAACTAATTGAAATTTGTGTTGTTGATTACTTGGATAGTTAAAGTACTCAGAAACACTAATATTAATTAGTTTATTATTACCATTATGATTATAATTATCATTTCCAATTATTCAGGGTTGTTCAGCAGAATCAAATTGTGTGATGACTCATGAAAATAATAATTAACTAATTAAAATTAGTGTTTCCAATTATTCTAACTATCCAAGTCTCATGTAAGAATAAACAATTTGTTGAATGTAACTGATTCATGAACCTGACAATTAAGTGATTTACCAAATTCTACTAACTGCCCAGTTCTAACAGCCATATTCATAACACACCAAGACTGATATAAAGATCAATAAAGCTGAATCTCAGTTAGGAAGTTCTGAATAGGCTACTCTTACTAAATTGAAGCATCAAATACATGTACTTACACAAGCAATTATTAGTAAAACTATAAAACTAAAACTAAAGCTTTTTAAAT